GGATATGGGTAGCGTGCCTCTCCCAGTGCAAGCTGGGATATGGGTAGTTTGCCTCTCCCAGTGCAAGCTGGGATAGGGGTAGCGTGTCTCTCCCAGTGCGACCTGGGATATGGGTAGCGTGCCTCTCCCAGTGCGAGCTGGGATATGGGTAGAGTGCCTCTCCCACTGTGAGCTGGGATATGGGTAGTGTGCCTCTCCCAATCCCAAAAGCACCCCTGGGAGCTGAAAGGTGACTTAAAAGAAACCCAGCATTGAAACCTGAGTTTCAAGTGCAAAGAAATGATTTCAAATGCTCTGTACTGACGTCAGCCATCATATGCTGGAAGTGGAAATGCTTAACTGCTTTTACAAAAACCTCAGGAAAAAAAAAGTCTACAGGGGGACCACGATCACAAATCCCCAGCCAGCCAAACCTCCCTGGCACTTCCAGAGAAGGACTGGGCAAAGCTCAAGGTGCCGGGTCATGGTTGTCTCTGAAAAGACCTCAACAGAACACCCACCATCAACTCCAGCATGCTCCTCTGTTCCCCTTAAGGAACTTAACCAAAAGAACTTCTCACTGAAAATACCAGTTTAACCAGAAAGAAAGAGCTAACTGCCTTTCACAGCCCCACTGTGAAGGTGTGCAGAGGGTTCTCTGGGGCCACAGACCCTGTCCTCAGGCTTCTCTGAAGTCCCCCCCCACGGACCAGCAGACCTGGGACAGGTCCCACAAGATTCCCAGCACTCCGTGGTCTCTGTGCAGAGATACTTTGTCAGGCTGACCTGACATGTCCAGGATGAAAACAAAGCAAAGCCAAGCCGTGCCTTAAAGAAGCTGACACTCAGGGAGAGCAGGACAGATGTAACAGTCACAGCCGGCAGTCAGTTCCACACCCTTGCTGCAGGGTCAGATAGACGCTCAAGTCTCCAAGCGCATCTTCTCAGCAACCAAAAAATAACCCGACCTAGGAGGTGTGAGCAGAACAGGCGGAGTGTGCTCACACCGGCACAGCCAGAGAAAGGTCTGCAGAGGGACTTCCCTCTGCTGCTGGATCCACTGAACCTAAGGCCACCATCAGGACACGGCTTGAGTCTCTCAAAGTGTGGCTCACCCTTTCCTCATCATCTTGCACCTCTCTTCAGGCCTCCTTCTCACAGCCACCCTCAGTAGCCCGAGGTCACTCCACATTTTCTTGCCAGAAGCCAGGACTAGAGAGGCCACTGAGGATGACTCTTACAATGACACAGAGACCCAACGAAGAGAGTGACTTGCCTTGACAGGTCACTTTCAGGGTCTCCTTTGTTCCTTATAGACTGGAGTGTTGTGACCTCAGGCTGCTGCCCCCAGTCTGTAAATTATTCCCAGCCTGACAGGTCTTCCCAGGCCCCCACTGATCTGTCCCTGCACCTCGGAGGCAGAATCACATAGAAACACCAGGGCCGTGCACAGACAGATACTGTAATCTCTGCTAATATTCCCTGGTGTGTGGCCCACCCAACCCACACAGGGAGGCTTAAGAATATAAGGGAGACTGGTTTGTTTCCTCCCTAAAACACCCTCTGGCAAGAGAAGGAAACAGCCCAGCAAAGGCCTAATCCTGAGCTCAGGGCTCTGTTTGTTCACGGGGAGGAGGAGGGAGCTGTTGAAAGGACCCAGCCCTAGAAAGAGAAGCATAGATTCCAGTAATACACCTCTGCCTGTTGATCTTCTGGCATGGGACCCTCTTTCCTCTGGGCCATTTGGGGTAGCCTTCTGCAATGGTGTGCTTCTCTGAGATGGCTCACAGGACAGAGAATTCACAACAGGGCTAAGAGGTCAAATCTGGGTTCCAGTCAACCACAGCAGACAGATGCAGAGGCTTCTAGTGGGGCAACCAAGGCTGGTTCAACCTCCTCTACCCACCCCTCCCTCAGCAGCAAGCTGGAGGTGCATCTCTGACATAATCAAGAAAGGAAATACAGACTGCTTTCCTGACAGCCCAGGGCTTCCTATGGTTCATTCTGACAGGCCTGTCCATTCCGGAAGCACAAGCCACTGGGAGCATTCACCCTGGGTATTAAAGTCTAGGAGGCAGGAGGAACATACAAGAGAAGTCACAGGATCAAGGTGCGTGCAGCAAGGCGACAAGGTGAATGTCCCTAGCTGTCCTTTCCGGGAGCAGAGGCCAGCAAGGCCATCATCCCTTTGTGGGACTATCTGTCTATCCTTCTACTCAAAAGATGCCTTTAATCCCAGTACTCAGGAGGCAGAAGCAGGTGAATTTCTCTGAGTTTAAGGCCAGCCTGGTCTACAGAGCGAGTTCTAGGACAGCCAGGGCGGTTACCCAGAGAGACCCTATCTCAAAAAAGCAAGCAAGAAACAAACAAAAGAAGAAGGAAGGAAGGAGGAGGGGAAGGAGCAGAGAAAGAGAGAGGGAGAGAGAGAGAGAGAGAGAGAGAGAGAGAGAGAGAGAGAGAGAGAGGGGAGCATTTGGGGGCACAAAACCATAGACACTTCATCCTTGAGCCAAGTGTGTTCCACTTCCTGTGAGCAGCCTGTATCTGTCATCATCTGGCCCGCTATCCAGACAGCACAGACAGCAATCAAAGTGTCTGAGCAGCTCAGGTGACCACGCCCCTCTCCACAGGGACACAGAGAAGCAATCCCAAACTCCAGAGGTTTGTAGTGCCCCAGCTATGGGAGCTCAGCCCTCACCTGTGTGCCCAGAGGTCACAACGATCCTTTAGCCATAGCAAGGATGGATGGTGGCAGGATGCCCTTTCTCTGGGGGGTAAGAACAGGGTGGGAAACACTGATCTACAGTGCACAACATGGTGCGGGGAAAGACCAGGGGAGAACACGGGAGTGACACCCCCAAAGAAATCGACGAGACAATGAGATTAAGATATCACAGAAAGGAAACCCCGTGCAACTGTGAGTCCTGGGAGGAGAGAATGGAGGGGAGAGAGCCACATCCTGCTGCTTCCCATGGAGCTACTGGAAGTCAGTCAGGGATGTGCAAGCAGCATCCTTTATATTGATAATAACTGTCCCCAAATCCACAGGGCCAGCACTTTATGATCAAATGAAAGTCTCTGAAACAGGACAGGGTGGACTGTAGAGACTCGCTCTTCTCTCTGGCAACTGCGCCCTGTGCAACACCACGACCACTGCTGGGGACAGGCCTGGGGAAGTCCAAACCCCAGTCCAAGTACTGCTGACCAGCTCAGTGTCCCTCAAGGGCCCCAGGGAGCCTTTTGGCCCCAGGCCCTGGCAACTCTGTCCTCTGTATCACCGTGAAGGCTGCAGAGACTGACTGGGCTAACACTTACCCAATGAGAGACCGTTTCCACCCCTAGTTAGGGACACAGAATGAGGATCAAAGGCCACTCTTGGAATCTATGGGTAGGTGGGTGGGTGAATGGGTTGGGGAGCCTTCAGAAATAAAAAGATGCCCAGGGCAAATGTAAGGGAGACTTTGGAGAAAGAGAGACAGCAGTGACTGGCAGGGAAGGATGAATGAGAGGCAAACCCCGTACTCTAAGGCCCCAAGAATAGGCAGATGCCATCCCGGGTACCAAAGGCCTGAAGTGGCGTGGACAAGACATTCAGAAAATACCTTTGCCACCATACAAGTTGCATAGAAAGGAGGTTCCTCATCTCGCATCTGCGGGTCTAGTCCAGACTTGGATCTCAGAAAGTTTGGGGAGGACTGTAGCCATGATCAGGGAGGGGCAGAAAAGACCAACATGGACTCACAGTAAGAGCCAGACTCTGTGTGTGTGTGTGTGTGTGTGTGTGTGTGTGTGTGTGTGTGTGTGTATGTGTGTCTGTGTGTGTATGCAAAATCACAGCCCAGGAAAGCACATGACCTTGTGACTGTGTGTTTCCTTACACCGAGACACCTGTCTTCAGAGCAGGGAACGCACCTTCCAGTCACAACTCAGGGCAGCTCTGCATCCGAGCTGTGTCTGGCCCGCCTAGAACTGAGGGAAGCCACAGACAAACCAGTTCTCTGCGTCTGGTCTTAGTGTATCCGAGTCCCTGCCTGTCCCCACAGCTCCAGCTCAGGGCGTGGCTACGTTCACAGAACCCTCCACTGAGATCATCCGCTCCATTCCCTTCCAACGGTGCTCGCTTTTTACATTGCAGAGTATGAACATTGTCCTAAGTGGAAAACCCACTGGTCCCCCACTGGCCGGAGTAGGAGGCGAGGAGGCCCCGAGGTACCTTCCTACCTTGTTGTAGTACTGCACCAGCACCGAATGCCACCGCCCATCACTCACACCGCCAGGAACCTGCGGGGTCACCGTTGTCGTGGTCTCACCTGCATGGCAAGAGGGACAGTCTGAGAGAGAGAGAGGCTTGGGGGTCTTCAGCCAGGCTTCCAGGCTACAAGGTAGACATGCTGTTCATAAAGACTGGCTGTGTGCCCTTTTCTTTGGCACAGCCACCGTGGGAAGCCATCCCCTACCCAACCCCTACACTGAGGACTTTAACCTGAGTCATGACGACCCATCTTACCCCCTCCACTTCCCTATTCCTCATCTCTGTGTCTGTCTGCTCCCCACATGCTGGCATAATTTATCACATTAATTTACAGGTGCATTGCACTTTTTTTATTGTTATTTTTAGATTTGATTTTTATGTGTATGAGCGTTTTTCTTCTATGTATATACATGTGCACCATACGTGTGCCAGGTACGCTAAGAAGACAGAAGGGGACATTGGATACCCTGGAACTGGAGTTATGAACAGTTGTATGCTGCCATGTGGGTGCTGGGAACCGGGCCGGGGTCCTCTGCAGGAACAGCAAATGCTCTCAACTGCTGAACTAGCTACCTCTCTGTCCCCATCGCTGCACTTTGTTTACTGATTCTGATTTAGGAAACAGGCTTTGTCTGGTGCTAACAAGTAACACTGCAACAATGTCATTTTCTTGTACTCTGATTTCTTCTAGAGGGTGGATTCCTAGACACGGGATTAGGATTGGAAGGGTGAGCAGTTGGGCACAGATATGAGGACAATGATAAACTTAATCTGTAAGGGCCTGGGAGATGCTCCTGTAGCCGCAGGAGGCCGCACCTGCCGAGAACGTGAGCTGCAGCTGCTCCTCCACAATCTCCAGGGCGATGAAGTCATGCTTCTCGTTGAAGCGGCCATTGTAGAGCAGCAGGGCGTTCCTGTCTTGGGTGGCAAACCTGTGGGTGAGCGACATGTCACACAAATGAAGGACCCCAGGGCCATGAAGACACACAGGGGTGACACGGCCAGTCAAGGGAGTGAGCCCAGAGGGCCACAGTTCAGGAGAGAAACTGCCCAGCACTCTTATCATGAAATGCTGATGGCCCCGTCAGACCTGATTTATGCACTGGAGCCTTAGAGACACCTGGATGGCCAGCAGAGTGTGAAAAGACTCCATGTGGGCAGGGGAATGGGAAGGAGTGAATCAAGATTGCTGGTGCAAGCGTGAAAATCAGAGTTCAGAGCCCCCAGGAGCCGTGTACAAAAGACAGACAGGTACGGTAGCCACCTGTAATCCCAGCACTTAGGAGGCAAAGATGAGGGACCTTCAGGGTCAGCGAGACTATCTGGAGTTGGGGAACACTGGGTTTAGGAAGAGACCCTGCTTCAATAAATACAGTGCAAAGTGATTGGAGAAGGCACATGATATCAACATCAGCAGTCCATGTTCACTCATGCACATGTATACACACACACACACACGGAGAGAGAGAGAAAGAGAGAGAGAGAGAGAGAGAGAGAGAGAGAGAGAGACTACATGTTCAAAAGGATGCCAGCCCAATTACCAACCAGAAGCATGTCTGGAGGCAGAACACACGTATTTTATTTTCTGCTATGGATCAGATGAGACCCCCTAAAGTGCCTCTTTAGCACCTATGTCTCTGCACGAGCAGGTGCCATGTCCTAAGCCTCTCATACCCATGGGACCATTTGATCCTGGACTCTCTGTGTCCGGGTTAACCCCTCTTACATGGTGCCCTCCTGGCAAGTACCGTCCATTGCTAAAGACAGAGAAGAAATAGAGACGGGGCCGGGGCCCAGGGCTGAGGGGAGGGTGGGAAAAATGCAAGTAAAATAAGGAAAGACAAAAATAGAAACCAAGGCTTGTGGGGCCAGAGGAGAAGGAGCCAAGAATAAAAGGGATGAAAGGCGGCTGGGAGTGGGGCCCACTTGGGAGCCCCAGCACTTGGCAAATAGAAACTAGAAAGAGGAGACGGGCCATGACAGAAGCTACCTGAGACAAAGGCAACTCAGCCGGGCTGGGCAGCTCTCTGCGGTGAGAGGGGCCTCAGCCTCGGCAGCTTCCAGGATGTGTGCTCTGGGAAACCATGTGACTGGACGTCCATGGAGCAGAATTCTGGGGGAGCTTTCTGTTCTCTTTCTTGTGACTTTGAGTTTTAAGGCAGTCATATGTAAAGGCCACCAAAAGTCACATGACTGAGCTGCTGGCCATACCAAGGTGTGAGGCAGCCATGACTACACCCCAGAGTTACAAACCCCCAACTCACACCCATCACAGGCTGTGACACATTCACCAGGGGACACAACGCTCCTCTAATGTGGAAGATGGCTATTTATGGGAGTTCTCTGTTACAGATACCGTGTCACAGGGGAATCCTACTGCAGGGCCCTTAATTTGCAGGCTTGTGCCCTAAGGGGAAGCTTTCTGGGTGGGGGGGAGACCAGAGTCTTAACACAAAGGAGCAATCACAACAATTATCCCAGCTTGGCTGAACAGGACTCAGTGTGTACTGTGCCAACAGGCAGACACTGTTCATTTTATCAGGCAAGTTGAGGCTGGGGGGACAATAGCAAGTCCCAGTTACCAGGCCCACCCCACGTTCTTGGACCATGCACCAATGGGAGAGACCACGGTAGCCCAGTGTACAGCGGATGAGTACATAGAAGTCACTTGTCTACGGTCAGAAGGACTTCTGCAGGAGGTCTTCATCCTTGGGGCAGAACCCAGGGACAGGTTCCTGCTCTGTCCACCCTAAGAGGTCTGGTCCTCAGCAGGCAGCTCAGTGAAGAAAAAGCTGTTGGGTGACCCACACGGGAAGGACAGAGACTACCACACTCCTGTCTGGAGAGCTGAGCTGCAGAGAGTCACTGCAAACGCCCACCAAAAACACCCAGCAGAAACCTCACCCTTGTCAACCAACTTTAACCTAGCAGAGATCTTCAAAATGGACATTCTAGATGTTCTTTTAACTGAGCAACTGTGATGGGCTCATGCTGCCTAGAATGCAGTGAGTTCATTTGATATTCTGTGTGTATATCTGTACACGTGTGTGCAGGAGCATGTGTGTGCAGAGGCCTGAGGCTGACATCAGGTGTCTTTGATCACTCTCCATACACTGTTTTTGTGTGTGTGTGTGTGGGAGGGTTGAGACAGGGTTTCTCTGTGTCACAGTCCTGGCTGTTCTGGAACTCTCTCTGTAGACCAGGCTGGCCTCGAACTCAGAGATCCACCTGCCTCTGCCTCTTGAGTACTTGGATTAAAGGTGTGCACCACCACCGCCTGGCTTGCGTACACTATATTTTGAGAAAAGTTCTCTTATTCAGCTAGACTGGCAGGTCAGTAAGTCCCTAGAATCCCCCTGTCTCTGCCTCCCCAGCTGTGGAATCACATGTATGTGCCACTGTGCCTGGCCTTCTACATGGTGCCAGGGATTTGAACTCAGGCTCTCATGCCTGCAAGGACTTTAACAGCTAAACCATCTCTCCGGCCCCAAATGATAGATACAAATATTTTTAGGTAGTATCTAAATTCTTTTGGGGGAGAAGGTACAGACAGCACACATTCAGTCTGTCACAGATAGGAACCAAGGCAGGGCAGTTGGGGTCTGAGCAGCCTGCCTTGTGACACACATATGCAATGGAAGGTCTGATTCCAGGGCCTGCCCCACTGGCTACGAACATGTCAACAATGTCCACATGATGGCTGCTGGACAGGACCCACATAACCAGGTCAGTTTCCAGGCCTGGGATTTTGTCTGTTCCCCTCTCAAAAACAGCAGCACTGATGCTCTGCGGTCACTGTGCAGAAATAGCCTCCTCTGTCATCAACCCGGCAACGATCCGACCCTTGAGCATCCAAGGTCCAGCATCTAACACTGAACAAGCCTCCTCGGCCACCCGGAGCCTGGAAAGTGAAGGTACCTTCCCAAGGGATACTCACGCGCACAGGCTGCACTTACGAAAGGGAGACGGTGAAGTGGAAGCGCTGCCGCAAACCTCGGAAGGTGACAAAGGACTGGGGCGGGAAGCTCCTGGTGCTGACTTCGCAGTAGGGATGCTCATACTCGCCAGGCGGGCACACACAGTGAAAGCCTCCAATGAGCAGGTTCACACAGGTACCCCCGTTCTTGCATACTCCGCTGGCACAGCGGCCTGAGCGAACGTTCACCTGGCAATGCTCCCCTGGAGAAGAAAGCGGAGGTCTCATGAAGGTTGTCTTGGTTTGCTTCCCTGCCCCACACTGTGGTAAACACTGACCAAAGGCAAGTTGGGGGCGGGGGTAAACAGTTTATTTCAGCTATTGTCTGTCATTGTGGGAAATCAAGGCAGGAACCCAAAGACAGGAGCTGAAGCAGAGACCATGGAGGAGTGATAATTACTGGCTTGCTCTTCAGAGCTTGCTCAGTTTGCTTTCTTATACAACCCAGGGATAGTTCCACCCACAGTGGGCTGGGCCTCCCACATCAATCATTAATCATGAAGCTGCCCCACCGACATGCCCCTGACAAGCTAATCTAATGGAGGTAGTCCCTTAGTTGAAGTCCTCAATGTCCAGGTGACTCTAGATGCCTCGTGTTAATAAAGAGTAGCCAGCACAGTGGCTAAGAGAGCCAGTGGACTGTGGATGTCCTGAGACACACAGCTGACCGCTGATGAGAGAGGACTCAGGCTCAGGGGCTTAGATGCCACAGGGACACCTGGACCTGGATCGTCGGTTGGTAGAGCTTCCTGTCAGCTTGCAGAGCCACATGGGCTGCTCTCGAAGTATCAGAAACACCCTGCTCTGGAGGTGACCCAAAGATGACGGGTCAATAGGGCCATCTTCCCCTGGGAGTTCTCCTCTACTGACTGTGTCGGGGCTGAGTCCCACTGAGTCCCAAGCTGCTGCCTTTGTATCCCAGAGAACAAATCTGCATCGCTAATCCACCATACACCTTCACAAACACATAGGCCATGGAAGGATCCTAAATGCTTCTGGAGCCAGGCCAGGCATAGGCCAGGTTTAGACCGGGAGGGTGTGTTCTCATCCACCTACTGGTTCTGCACCGGCTGGGATGGGCCCAGAGAAATGGACAGAAGTAAGCGGCAGCTGGTCTGGTGCTTGCTCATCTCAATTCTATCAGAGTGGACACTTTCTCTCCCCCAGCTGCTCTGCCTGTCATGGCTCCTGGCTTGGCCGTTCTGCAGGGAGCTTTGAGTTCGCATGCTTGCACACACACCTGCACACTCATGCCATCATACACCCCAGGTGACCCACTCAGACCATTACATCCTCACCAACGTGCCCATGTGCGCATGCTTGTAAACATACCCTTACATGCGCCCTTATACCCACGGTCTCAGACTCAGTCTCACCTCACACACACATGCTCACACCTGTAGCTGCACTCGCCCCTCACCGACCATGTACATATGTACCCCCCCAACACACACACATTCTCACCCTCACACATCAGCCAGTGCTCACACCCTTCTAGGCAGCCCTTGTGAGTACCCATCACTGACGTGCAGATTGAGCTTAAGATACATCTCTCTTCCTTCAGAACACTTCACATTCCCTCCCTCAGGAGTATTGCTCTACGATATTCCAGGTTAGCCCAGCACTGTGAACAAAGCTGCCCCAGAGACAGTCTGGCACTGTGCTCACTAAACCGTGAAGACAAAGAGCCCTGCCGTCACCCTCCCCACAGCCAGGGCCCGAGAGTAGCAGACCTGGGAGGCACTGGGCTCCAGGAAATACCCAAACTTTCCCAGCAGAAAAGGCAGCCAGCCTTGCCCTGTGAGACACTCCTATCTCCAGTTCCACCTGGCTGTCGGGTGGCAATGTCACTTGAGCATGGGGTTCTCTTCCTCTCCTGAAGCCCAGGAATTCCTCTTTAAGACCCAAAAAGGCCCCAGGGGTATCTAGTCTCCCCCAGTACACACACTTTATCTCCTAAAGACCCTGAAGATGGAAGAGGGTTCACCCCAAGTCCCGTATAACTTCACCTCAAGTGTCTGGCTGTATCGACAAAGACCTGATTTCCCAGTGAGGCCACATTCCGGGCTCAGTTGTCCTAGAACTGATGTCTGTTCAGTGTGACCGCTATAAGACCAGGGCCCTGAGACTGTGGGGGGCTTCCCAGGCTGTGTTCCAGCGCTTAGGGGATGGTCCTTCTGACCTTTCCCCTCCCAAGCAGAAGGCTGTGCATCTCAGCACCCAGGCAACAGCCGATGATGAACCCCAGTGATAGCTGATCTGAGGTTCCCCTCCCTCCGCTTTTGAAGGTCACACTGTGTCCCCTCCCCGAGCCTGTCCCTGACTGGAGGCTCACCTCATAGGAAGAGTCACTATTTTCTGAACAGGTCCAGGACCTAGGATCTCTCCCAGCTCCACTTACAGCACCAGAATGTGGGAGGGTGGGGTGGGGATGTAGCCACAGGGGCTGTTTTAGGGTCAAGTCTGAAAACATCTGGTACACAGTGGGTGCCTTGCATGTTAGGGTGCTGGACTGGTGCCCATAGTGAGGGGGCGTCTGAGAAGAGCGGGGTATGCAGCAGGTACTGGCGAGTGCTCGTGGGATGAAATCATACAGCGCCAGGGCTCTCCCAGATTCAAGGCAATGATTCATGTTTGAGTTTAATCCACGAGGTTACAAAGCCAACATCACTCATCCACCGGTCCAAGCAAGCAGTGTGGGTAGATACCCACACAAAGAAGACTTAGCTGTAGGGTTAAACACACCACTTTTATACAGGGCGCTGTGAGCTGTGGTCACTGGGCTTCAGGTATGCTACTCCAGCCTGGGATGGAGCCTCATCTTCAGGTTCTAGTACTTTCCTTGGAGTCAACTCTAGGTCCTCGGGTGTCAATCCAGGGTCTGCTTTGCTGTTTTTGTGAGGGCACCCGTCACAGCTGCCACTCCAGCCAATGTGTCAAAGTGACATCTTGACCCACTAAGTCCTTTCCTTGGACTTACCGCTCACGTGACTTCTCGGCTTGTGGTTAGCCAGCTGCCCTGGGGTGAGGGTGGGAGTGTTCAGTTTACAGTCTATGCATGCTCCCAGCACTGCCAACCTAGAACAGCCAGCTTGACCATATAGTGTGCACACTCGAGGACTGGGCTGTGACGTTTTCTAACTCTGCAAGTCATCTTAGCCCAGGAGGCTACAGGTCAAAGTCTGGGAGTCCTGAATCCTTAATGCTCTCAGAGAGCCACTGTAAGGGATTTGCTTCGCTTTGGTCTTAGATTTCTAAGATAGATAGACAGACAGACAGACAGACAGAGAAAGAGAGAGAGAGAGCACACACGTGTGTGTGTGTGTGTGTGTGTGTGTGTGTGTGTGTGTGTGTGCATGATTGTGCGTGCCTCTACCTGCAGAGGTCTGAGCAGGGTGTTGGAATGCCTGGAGCTGGTGTTAGGAACCAAACTGAAGAACAGCAAGTGCTCTTAATGCCTGAGGCACCTCCAGCGCACCCTTCCTTTCTTGCTTCCTTTTTCTAGGTTTACAGACTTGGTGGGCGGCAGGTGCCTTTGTCTGCTGAGCCCTCCCTGATTTATCATTTTTCGTTTCTGAAACAGGGTCACTCCATGGCCCAGAGTGCTCCATCCTTAGCCTTCTACCACACCTACCAAGCAGTGCCATTTTGATGAAATAAATCTTCTCAGGGCTTACTGTCATGATTTAACTTTGTCCCTTTCTAAGATTTCACGGTTCAGAATCTGGCATTCCCCGAACATACCAGGTGTTCTGCTCAGAGTCAAATGCTGCTGACTCATTTCCCAACCGGGGAGCATGCCTCCCCATCTCCACCCAGGTTCCCCATTTCATAGGCAGCCCCTCCATCCACACCAAGGTAAGTTTAGCTTGGACAACCTGATCTCCATAATTCGCTGAACTCCATAATTCATGGAGCATGTCACAAGGTCCCTGCCCACAAGGGACACTGGCCTCAGCTGTTAAGGCTGCAGACACATAAACCCACATGGAAAAGACTGGAGAGAGTTGTGTAGAAAAACGCCCTGGAGCTGAGGCCAGCCTGGCCCTGAATCTCATGTGTGTCCCATCACTTAACAAGTGCCCTGCCCAGATGTGGATGAGTACTGTCCTGTCTGCTCAGAGACCCAAGCTAGTACTGTCAGCGCCATTGACCTGAGTCTAACCAAAAGCCCAGCATCATAAGACTTAGGCAAATGGGGTGCCTGTCATAGGAAGGAGTCAGTTGGTAGGTGGGAAAGTCGGGGCTTCTGACTCAGAATGGAGGCTCTAGGAGATGAGAGGCCCATGGAAGCCACAATGCAGAGGGTAATCATGTTCAGTCTGAGGGAAGGGATGGGGGTCTGAGCTGGGGAGCTGCTGGCCACAAGACCCACTTCAGTGCACCACACACAGGAGCAGGACTAGCCATGCAGAAGGCCTGACTCAGCCTCAAAGGGTGGTGCTCAGACCCTTAAGACTTCGAAGAGGGCAGGATGTACTTCCTGGGAGGGAAGGGCAGGGAAAGATTTGCCAATTTAAGTTTTTAACTAAATAAAAGGACAATCCCTCCTCCCTTAATAAAGACGTGAGGGCTTTAAAGTAGAAAAACTAGAATTTCCAGAGGTGCCAAGAGTAAACTCAGACGCAACACACAAAAGGCACACTTGGAAACTGGAGGCTCGGGCAGAATTGAGGATCAGCAGGACAGGTGGAGAACACAGCAAGCGAGGGAAGTGGGGACGGGGTAAGGGCTGGAATCTGAGCGCGGATCATTCAAAGTCAGGTCTCAAACACAGAGCCCCAGAGCGGCCCGAAGCCCCACCACAACTCAGGCCCAGAGAGGAACCTTGTGTCCTAGCAAAGAAGATGCCAGCCACTATGCAACTCAGGGCAGCAGCTCCTCGACCACAGAAGTGCTGTGACCAGCGGCAGCACCGCGGGGCATTGAAAGGCAGGTGTCCATCATAGGTCACTGAGCACTAAGCACAATGACCCACCCTTCCATGTTTGCCCTCAGTCATTATTCTTTCTTCTACCCAGTCACCACACATCCACCCATCTACCCACCCTTCCTCCATCCATCAGTCTATAGCGTTCCATGCATTGCCCCACCCACCATCTACCCATCTAGCCGCCCTTCCCCCATCCATTGATCTAGCTATCCCTTCAACCATCTACCATCTATCTACCCGTCCCTCTATCCATCTATTCATCCACAACAC